TAATTACGGCATACAAATAGGCATTATCTACAAGGAGACCATTTTATCTTTTAAGAAAATATCTCTATAGACTCTAGTTTTAAGTTTCATACATCCATAAACCCAAAGTTTCAAAATATGTTTTGAGGCATAGAGATTTTATCTATCATATCTTCTAACAGAGGAACAATTTCACCTATTTTTAATTCATCTTTTTAGCCCAAAAAATTTATAAAATGACATCATTTTTATAGTCTAAACCCCTACCCTCTATCCTCGTGTGTCTATTTCTCCTTAAATCTCTACTTCCCCAACTTTTTTTGTCTCTCTATCCCCATGTCTCTCCCTGTCTCTTTCCTCGTGCTTACCCAAATCCTTCTCCCTCTTTGAAGATAAAGGTCTATCCCTGTTTCCCTCCCTCTCTCTCCCCCGTACTCACCCAAATCCCCCTCTCTCTCTCTCTTTGAAGATAAAGGTTTTTTTTGGAGAGAGATGGATACCGTTATTATAGCTACTATTTGCAAGCAGCCAGCAGGTGTCCATTGGAAGGATGAGGAGCAGCAGAGAACAGAGTTAGAGAGAGAAGAAGAGAACCAAGAGTGCAATAGCAATAAAAGAAATGAGAAGAATAAGAAGAAGAATAGGAAGAGAAGTAGAAATATGTTCATGTTTCAATGCTCATATTGCAAAAGGACCACAATTTCAAGCTTCAACAGATTGAGGAGCCCGACAACCTCCAAGGCCACCCCACTTGGGATGAAGTATCCACTGCTCTTTTTGACCCACAATCCCCCTCTCTCTCTCTCTCTAAACCCGCTCTAAAACAAAAGTCTAATGCTCTTTTTTACCCACAATCACCTTCTCTCTCTAAAACAAAAAACTCATAAGAACTCCCTTTCCATGAAAAAGCCATACATTTAGTAGCACTCTACAAAAGCATAATCACTCGCTCTTTCTCTAGAAAATAAATATACCTTTCTCCCTTCACCAAAATATAAAATATCATCTCTCTCTTATCTAACAAAGAACAAAATACCATCTCTCTCTCTCACTCTCTCCCCAATACTGGCTCACAAACTCCCAAGCCGCTTCGACCTTCCCGTAAATTCATACTTCACAGCGAAGACATAGCCCTTCCCTTATATCCCAAAAAGAGGCCGACACAGTGGAATGAGCTTTGCTGGTCCATGTTGCAATGGGCTGATAGCAATAAGTCTTGCTCTCCGA